TTTAGCTTCTTGGTGCTGCGCTTTAACCCGCCGTGTCACCATGGAGGGCCCTGCAGTAATTTTTTATTCCCTAAAATGTCCTCCCCACCACAGTTGTACTGATTCCCCTCTGCCTCCTTCCTGGATATCCTACCAGCAGCAGGGTAGTGGGGAGAAAGAGACTGAAATCATTGTCAGCTTTGGTCCCAGCAGAGGCAGCCCGGGGACTTGAGGGGGGCATGGCTACCCTTTCCAATCTTCCAAACGCTGCCAAGCCTTGCTGGTCTTCTTACCTATCTACCCCCTAGTCTCTCAAGCCTGCCCATATACCTCACCTGCACTGTTTAAGGAAACAAGTTCCTTAGGTTTATATGTCAATTTGAAGATGAGCCCTTCCTATAATTATAGGGAAGACATAGAAGACATGGACATTGCATTTAAAGAGAGACAGTGGAGCTGAAATGAGCTTGGTTTGGAATTTCATACCAGCCACAGGCCCCTGGGAAGCTTACTGCGCCTCTCTTCGCCTTGGCTCCCTCATCTATAAAATGGGAACAGTTGGCACTGACTTCAGAAGGCTTTTTGAGGATGAAATGGGACATCCCTGTAGATCACTTAGCACAATACTTGGGGATGTGCAAATGCTCAATAAATGGTGCATGTAATGCCCCTGAGAGCTCTTCTGCCAAAGTGCAGAGATTGGCTGTCGCAAAGCGGTCAAGCACATAGGTGCTGAAGCTGGTGAATGAATCAAGGCTCCTTCATCTGTTAACTTGTAAGGCCTTGGGAAAAAGACCTAAAGCCTGTTCTAGGTCTCCTCATTTATAAAATGGGGTGATGCTGACAATACTTGTTTCTTAGGCTTTTTGTGTGGATTAAATAACTTAACCCAATGAGAGGGAGAGAGCAGGGAGTGGCATCTCTGAGCCATTCTTTGTGACTTGTTTCCTTGGCCAACTGAGGTGTCTTGCCCTTTCAGACCTAAAACAGTAACTCTATCATCTCTTGACTATATTGTAATTCTCTTTTGGGCCAGCTAGCACTTCCTTTAGACTTTTGAAGCCTTTTGACTGGAGGCAGTCAGAGGTTGAAAAGTAGAATTTTGATGCTTTCATCTCTGCTGCTCTGCTGGTGGGTTTGCAGCAATTTTTTAAAGAAAATGAAAAAAATTTCCATGGTAGTCCGAAGAACAGATATTGTTAGCGTGAATCCAGCTCTCTTTTCTGAGTCTTCAATGATACCCATCCTCCTCTAGGTGAATTTGGATCACTGTACTTTAAGAGTGATACCTCCCCTTTGCCCATTTTGAATTTCGTGTCACTTTTTTTCCCTGCTTGTTTACAATTATAGATCAAGTTCTCCCCCTGGTTCACCACTATCAGTTTGGTGCTTTTATGGTGCTGTCTCTCTTCCAGACAACTTATACAAATACTACGTTTTCACCAGCACTGGTCTAGGGGAACCTTATATTTCTATATCCAGAAGGTGCTGGTTTAGCTATTCCTTCCTTCACCCTTAGAACTAGGAATTTAATGTTATCAAGTCTCTACGAAATTTGGAAAACTGAAGCTTCTCTCTGTTGTGATCCTGGGGGGGGGGGAGGTTTCATCACTGCTCTGACTGTGTCCCCAAGCTTTTTTGCACCCAGGTGGCTGCCGTTTTAAAGAGAAGCCTAACTATGTTTGAGATGAACCAGAAATAAAGCAGCATCTTGGGAGAAAAGGCTTAGGGACCTAATCCTTAGGGGTCTGGGCTAGCTTTTGTGACAGCAGGGAGCTTCCTCTCCTCCACATCAGGGAGGGGGCATAATCTTACCCCTAACTAGACAGGACACACAGGTGGCTGGGAATGCCTTGAATTAAAGAAGAGCCATGCCACCCTTTATATGTCCAAATCCCCCATTTAAACAGAAAGTGTCAGCTGGAACCACCCTGTTGGCCAGTGGGGCAGTTTTAGAATAGTGACAAGAGGAAAAACTGGGGATAAGGACAGAGTATAAAGAAATCCAAATAATTGCTGCTGCGCCTTTTAATTTGCTGGTGAAATAAAGCAGCTGGTTGGCGATAGCCATTAGGAGAACTTTTTTGAGAAGGCTCCTATTATCTAGTCATTATTCTCCAGAGTTGATACTTTTCCCTCTTAGAGGGGTTTTCGTCCATGTTCAGGGTTAGTGCCCTCTGCTGGAAAGTGAAAAATCCTTCAGCTGTCCTTGGCACTACAGAGTTACACTTGGAAACCAGATGCTTTGTGCTTGGTGGGGGAGGAATATCAACAGAGAGAGAATGTCCCAACTGTTCCTGGATCAGGAAAATAGGGGAAGGATGAAAGTGACCATGTTTTTGAGGATTTGGCAATCCAGTGGATAAGAGGTAAATATATTTTTTTAACTCAACAGAATTGTGGTAGAAGCTTTCTGACATTTGAGGAAGAGGTCATCAGAAACCACTCATCGGAATTACTGCACACATTCCCCAAGCCCTTTGCTCTATTTTCACATCTGAGAAATTGATTTGAAATTTTTCAGGTTAATGGGTACTTGCAACTTTGAACTTGGTGACCAGGATCAAGGGGCTGATTCTAGAGTAATGAGATCCTGAAATATATTTGCGCATTTGAAATCTGAAGTGACATTTGGAATGTTTTCTGAGGCCCAGAGATATCACAGGAAAGATAGGGCAATCAAATAATGATCATCTTGATTCTAGAAGGAATACCATCATGATATGTAGCCCATATTTCCCCCATCTTAGTAGCCAGCACTTACCGGGACCTCCTGTGAGGCACTTTGTCCCTGGGTGGTGCTCTTATCCCCTTCTCACGAAGGACAGTGAGGTGTTGCTGCTCAAGGTCATAGCCTCTAAGTGGAAGGAGCTCCGGGTCAGATCTCTGGAAGACAAGTGGTGGGGAGGTATACAAATAGAATTTAACTTTTGCCATTCAAGGGACTTAGGTTCTTTTAGAGAAAGCACAATATTGTCCCTCCCTTGGATTTCACCCTGGGATGGAATATTTACAGTGCCGTATAAAGCCAACTGTCTGTTCCTGGGTTCAGGGTCATGGCGTTGCTTTCCACTTGCCCTGGTCTTGGACAAGGTCCTATTGGCCGGCCACCTTCACCTGTGATTTGGTCACATGATGGGGTAACTTGCCTGGCATCTCTTTGGCAACAGCTTGGGGAGCCATGGTGACACTGCCCATCCCCAGAGAGCTATGCGGTAGGGGGAGGAGAGGGGAGGTGCCGTGGTGAAGTTCAGGAGTGGGGGAGGGAGCCAGGGCACCCTGGTCTCTAACCATGAACACTGTGTTCCTCTGTTCTAGCACTGGCAGATTCCCCTGAGTCGGCGGTTTCGATCTATTAAACTCTGGTTCGTGATTCGGTCCTTTGGCGTAAAGAACCTTCAAGCGCACATCAGACATGTAGGTGACCTTGGGCTGAGCCCGGCTTGCTGTGTGTCCTAGGAGGAGGAGAGCTGGCCTCTGCTTTGCAACCTGCTCAGGGGATCTGCAGCGTGTGGCTCAGCTGTTAGGGCTTGTTTTCTGGCCCCTGGGACGTGATTATTCAGGGTGTGGGCCTCTCTGTTAGTCAGAGGAACACTGAGCAGATCATGACACTGAGGGCTTCCTGGTATCTGTGCCTGTCCGAGGGCCCCCCTACCCCGTCCTTCCTTTGCTTTCTTTGGCCAATGGGAGTGAAGGCCTTGCAGCCTGGTTGGCAGAGAGAAAGAGAGTGTCAGTCAAATGGCATTGTGGTGCCGGGCTAGGATCATAGCTTTTTTAGAATTACCCAGATTTCCCTGGTGACTAAATATTTGAGTCTCTATTATGGTTATGTCTGAAATATAGTTCTTCTCACTTAAACAGGTAGACCTTTCAAATCTGGGACAAATATCCCAACATTGTGCACTCAGTAATAAGCCTATTTTGGACAATTTATTTCAGCTCAACTCAATAGAATTATTTCTCAGAGAGGGACCCAGAAGCCAATGAGGTCAGCAGAGTGTCCCTGGCTCTCTCTTCACAGAAGGATAGGACTTTGTCCTGCAGCATTTCTCATTTCTCTAAGCGCCTGTGTGGAAGACAAGCCTCCTTGGGTCTCTACCAGGGCTTAGAGCAACAGGGTAAATCCAGAGTCACCTGTCCTTTTTTACTGTGGCTGTCCTTCCTCTTCCACCTTTCCTCTGAGGAATTCCGTGGTTAAACTAACACAGCACAAATGAAATGGTTGAAGCAGTGACTATAACGGTTTACTGTTGGTAATTTTACATTGTCTTTCAACATCAAGCTGTTTACTAAATGGACTTTACCAATGCTTTTTTTTTTTAATTTCATTTTATAACAGTTTATTTTTACATCATTTTGTACATTTTCTTTTTCTATCTCAATTGTAATCCCCATGGGTTTCCCATCACCAAGTCACCCGTGTGCCATCACAATAATCCCGTGCACTTCCCTCCCACCTCCCCACCCCCGTTTTTGATCCCATTCCCCACTCCACCACCGCAAAATGTCTCTGGTATATGGTTGTTCATTATACTCCTGCTGGTCCATTATACTCCTGCTATGAGTGAAACTATCCGGTATTTTTCTTCCTCTTTCTGGCTTATCTCACTACCAATGCTTGGTTTTTAGGTTGCATATTAAGGACCTCTATGCACTTATTTTTTCTAGATGGCCCTGCGAATCCCAGGGAAGCCAGGACCAGGACAGATGGAATGCTCTGGGATGTAACTGTTGGCAGCATATGGAGGAAAGAGGACAATCCAGGAGGGCTGTCACTGGTGAATAAGGAGGTGGAGGTGACAGATAATCTGGAAATCTCCTGTACTTACAATTTAGGACTAGATATTTAATGTGCCAGTGTCAGCCACCTTCCCCAATGCTCCCTTTTGCAAGTCAAATCCCAGTTCTCACCAGCTCCCCAATTGCCTACATTAGATTCATGTTCCTGGGGTTGACTTGCCAGGACCCAATCAACAGCTTCTGTTTTAGCCCAGGCCTTTCTCAGACCCACTCAAATTCCATCCTCAGTTTGCCTCCACATCTCCACCTGTGCATCCCCCTCCCGGATTGTCCTCTTTCCTCCATATGCTGTCAATGGTTACATCCCACTTGTCTCAGAACATCCCTGGCCATTCCATCAGTCCTGATCTTGGCTTCCCTGGCATTCCCAGGGCCATCTACTCAAAACAGCTCCAAACTCTGAGGGCCCCACAATAGTAAGAGATGGAAGTAAAACAAAGTTGTATGATGTGAGTCGGTTCTACCTTTTCAATTTGACTGTGATCCTTACTATTACTATGCTCATAGTGTCTTAAATTAAAACACTGTTTTTTAGTATTTGACTAGATTCTCACAACAAAGCTTGGGGCTATCACTTTAATCAGTCTTTATAGTCGAAGCTCAGAGATGGTATTTGCCCTACTCAAGTGTGGAAGTCTTCCTTTCTTCACAGTTTTGGGCTACTTTTGACTAGCTGAACTTTCAGAGGTTATATAAAACTAAATTTCTTATCTCTCTGTTATAGAGCAGTGCTTTAAAGAATAGGATCTGGGATAGACTTTAGTAATTTGGTGACCTTGAAAAAATTACTTAACCATTTTGAGGTTGTGTTTTCTTAACTCATAAGATGGGAAAATGACAACTCTCTCAAAGTGACTGAAGTCACTCCAGGTCTCTGACTCAAAGATGTCGCTGGCTTAAGCCATTTATTCAGTGTGAAAGTTTTCCGCAGGTGATTATTAATTAATGTCAGTTATTAATCTCAGTTTTCTGTGTGTAATTCTAGGGTACTGAAATGGCTAAATATTTTGAATCTCTGGTTGAAAATGACCCTTTCTTTGAAATTCCTGCCAAGAGGCACCTTGGCCTGGTGGTTTTTCGCCTGAAGGTAATGCCATCTCCTACAGTTTGTGAATGACGCCAGTGGGTTGTCAGCCATTCAGAACTATAACTGCTGGCCCCCTGGGGATGTGTACAGAGGATGTGATAAAGACTTCACTTCTCTTTGTCCTTCAAACAGGGCCCTAATTGTCTCACAGAAAGCGTGTTAAAGGAAATAGCTAAAACTGGCCGTCTCTTCCTCATCCCGGCCACTGTCCAGGACAAATTCATCATCCGTTTCACGGTGACATCCCAGTTCACCACCAGGGATGACATCCTGAGAGACTGGAAACTCATTCAAGATGCAGCAACTCTCATCCTGAGTCAGCATTGCACTTCCCAACCTAGCCCTCAGGTTGGGAACCTTATCCCTCAAACCTGGGGTCCCAGATCTGTGGCCAATGGAATGACCCTTCAATCTGTCAATGAGGCAGGCGATGACCCAACTCAGGCCAGAAAGATCATCAAGCAACCTCAGCGCATGGGAGCCAGTCCTGTGAGAAGGGAAGACAGTGGCCATCTCGAAACCCTGCTGGACCCACTTGATGACTGCTTTTCTGAGGAGGCCCCAGATGTCACTAAACACAAGTTGTCCTCCTTCCTGTTCAATTATTTGTCTGTGCAGAACAAGAAGAAGGCAGTGCGTTCCCTCAGTTGCAATAGTGTGCCTGCGAGTGCTCAGAAGCCACTGCCCACAGATATGAAGAATGGGGGCTCCTCCCGGGTCAGAATCTTCTCTAGGTTTCCAGAAGAGATGATGATGCTGAAGAAAAGTGCCTTCAAAAAGCTAATCAAGTTCTACAGTGTCCCTAGCTTTCCCGAATGTAGCTCTCACTGTGGGCTCCAACTGCCCTGCTGCCCTCTGCAGGCAATGGTTTAGTCCAGGGGTTTCCATGAGCTTGCAATGTGTTTCAGGGAGTCTGTGACCCCTCACACATGCCAGGTCTTTATGCTTATGTGCATGTGCATTTTTTTCCTCGGAGAGAGTCCATAATTTTTGTCAGGATGTAATTGGAGAGTTTGGATTAGCATGTTTGAGAAGGTTCCAGCAGGGTTGGTCAGGAAGAAAAGATCCAGAGTGGTGGACTGACAGGCAGCTTCTGTTGTTTAGCTTGTGACATGACTTATATTGCAGTAATAAATTGTGCTTTTCTCTGAAAAAATCCTATGTTGTGTGACTTAATGCCACTGACACATTGGTTAATCACTACAGGTCCTGGTGCCTATGTGCATGAAGTTACAGATTTTATTTTTCAGAATGTAAGAGATTTTTAAAAAAAATTTAATTTTTTAAAAAAAATATATATATAATGTACAAAATGATGTAAAAATAAACTATTATAAAATAAAAAAAATAAAAAAATATATAATAGTTTATGTTTACATCTTTTTGTGCATTTTTCCACCTCAGTTGCAATCCCCTTGGGCTTCCCACCACCAAATCTCCCATGTGTCATCACCATAACATAGTCCAGTGCATTTCCTTCCCCAACTGTTTTTGAACCCATTTCCCACTCCACCCCCACAAAATGTCTCTGGTATATAGCTATTCATCATTATCATTATTTTCTCGCCTGTTCCGTTATATTCTCGCTATGAGAGAAACCATCTGGTATTTTTCCTTTTCTTTCTGACTTATTTCACTAAGCATGATCTTTTCCAGCTCCATCCAAGTTGCTGCAAAAGACATGTGTTTCTTTTTTTGGTTGCTGAGTAATATTCCATTGTGTATATGCACCACATCTTTTTAATCCAGTCATCCACTTTTGGGCATTTGGGCTGTTTCCATGTCTTTCCAATTGTGAATAAAGCAGAAATAAACATGGGTGCAGGTATCTTTTTCAATCAGTGTTTTTGTGTCTTTTGGGTAGATACCTAGGAGTGGGATTGCTGGAAGGGAAGCTCCATGTTTAGTAGTTTGATGAAACTCCACAGTTTTCCATAGTGGTTGTACTAGTTTGCATTCCCACCAGCAGTGCAGGAGAGTTCCTTTTTCAGAATGTAAGAGATTTTAACTGAAAAATGAGTTTAAAGGAGCCCTTGGTAGAAGAAGGCAGGCAGTTTGAGTCAGGCACTGTGGCTTAAACAGTCTCTAAGTAAGGAAACTAGGTTCCCAGGTCACCTCACTTCAAAGTGGGCAAACCGGGGTCTCCTTATTTTCAGTAAGATCATGGTGTTCTTACAGAGCCATACTGTTCAAGCTTGCATTTGATCAGAAGCAGCATATGTGTCTTCTAGTATATTTTCAAGTTTCCTCTCTAGGATTGAACCTTGTGCATTTTCCATTTTTTCCTGAACTCTGTTCAAAGATAATTTACCTATGATAATTCATAGACCAAGACATCATTTACTCCTTGTCTCAGTACTTTTATAGACAATGGCTCTGAACTTGGTTATATAAACAGTGTCAAAGGTAAACAGAGATGGGACCTAGTTAAAGTGTAAGGACAACTTTTAATTAATAATATACTACTACAAAAGGGAGAAGAGCGTGGTGAACTAGATTCAACCTTGATCTGTATGGAGATCACTGGGCATTTTAGAAAGAGAATGAGGGATGAGGGGAGGTAGGCAGGGGTAGGTGTGGGGGTGGGGTGGGGCGCTCAACAGTCTCAGGGAAATAAACACAAAAATCAGGGAGAGGGCGTCGGTCCATGTGAAGACCATCTGGGTTGTTACCTGGAGCTCATGGAAGTTATGCTTCCTCCCTCCCATGAGTCTGGATGAGGGGATCACCATCTTCAGGACTTGACTAGAACAAACAGCCAATTCTCAGATAGCCTTGAGTTTTTTACTGGTGAACTTTAAAGGGGGTGGGGGTCATCCTAGGGTTATACCCTAATGTTAAACTAAATGCTGTTCATGCCTGTCTAGGCCAAAGTTCAGTTCTAGATGACAAGAGGGAGCAGAGAAATCTGGCAAGAATTTAGTCAAGGAGAGGATCTTTGTCAAGAACTTAAATCTTCGTTCTGCCCTAGTATTACTGAACTTTGCTGTATGCTGAAACTCCAAAGGCCTGAAAAATACTGATGACTGGCTCCCACTCCTAGAAATCTTGATCTAATTGGTATGGGATAGGCATGGGCTTTGGGGTTGTTGACAGCTCCCCAACATCCCCAAGTGCAACAATGTTTGGGGTCTTCTGCTCTAGAGCTATTGCTATTCTAAAAAGGGATGTGTGGGCCAGGAACAGTGGCATCCCCAGGTGCTTCAAATGCACACAGAAGTTTGAAAAACACTGCTCTGGGCTGGTGGTTGTCAAACTAAGATGTGCTGGAGCTTCTGAGAGGATAGGTAAAAACAGATTTCTGGGCTCTGAATCAGTAGTTGTGATACAAGACCAAGACTTTGCATGTTTGCTGCCTCCCTGGTGGCTTAGGGGTTAGGTCTCATTGCTATCATTGTTATTGCCTGAGTTCAATCCCCAGCCACTTGGCATGGCAGAACTCTTCTGTCTCACCAGCTGCTCCCCTCAGCAGTGTATTTCAGTAGATCCATCTCTTTTGCTCCCCACTCTGTCTCTGGTGAATCCCCTTATCCCTGACCCCATACCTCTGGCCAGTTTTACACCCTCCAAAAAAAAAAAAACCAAAATAAAAAAACACTGCATATTTGACAAAAGAAAAAAAAAAGACTTTATATTGTCAGCTGATGCAGACATTACTGGGCTGGTACCATATTCTGTGAACCACAAGTCTATAAAGTTAATTCCTGTAGTATGGGAGCTATGAGCTATGTGACATTAGATGAGTCCCTCACCTCCCAGGTGCTAGTTTTATTTTTTGTTTTTCCTAGAAATAAAAACTGTTTTGCAACCATCCCAGGTAGGGTAGATTCAATGTTAGTTCAGCAGCTTAAAAGAGAAACTTGGAGTCCTTGGCATCATCCCTACAGGTTTTTTTAAAAAGATGTATTTATTTATGCATACAAGAGCTGGGGTACAGGCCAGAGGTGCAGGGTGGAGGAGGTGGGGTGAGAGGATTCATCAGAGACACAGTGGGGAGCAGAACAGGCAGATGCACTGAAATACACTGCTGAGGGGAGCAGTGGGCGGGTCAGGAGAGGTCTGCTGGGCCATGTGGGTCCCCTCCCTGGCCTGGGATTGAACTCATGCTCCAATGGCTGCGGACAGCCTCATATTGCTGTGCTTTAACCTGTTGTGTCACCAGGAAGGTCTTGGGTGTTTTTTTTAAAGTACCTTGCCAGCTTTCTTTAACATCCGCTGACTGCCTAACAACCGCTTGGGACTTCCCAACCAGCTTTGTTACCTTATCTAAGTTGGCCTCATGATACATCTGCGTGGCGGCAGAGTACGGCTGCGGCGATGGCCCCAGACGACACCAGAGAGAACCTAAAGAGAAGGAGTAAAGATTCCAGGCCCCTCAGCTCGCTCTGCACCTGGTTGTTGGCACTACAAAAGGTTTGAGTAGATGCTTTCTGGGATTGCTTGAGTTTTGCTATAGCAAATAACATACGTGTGTACAGTAGATCATGTGCTGTTAATTGACTTGAATTTTTAAGAACTGGGGATGACAAAGTGCTACTCTATGCTGGGTTAGTCCCTTCTTTTGCAACCATCACAAGCTGGGTAGGTTCACTGTCGTTTCTAGTGATTTGAAAGACAATTTTGAAGCCCTTGGCATCACTGACACAGGTTTTAATGGTAAGCTGGGGAAACAAGCCAGCAGAGAGATAGCAATTTGAGCCCCCTTCCCCAGGATGACACCACCTTGTGGTCCCTCCTAGGCACAGGTATGCATACTTGCACATGGCACACATTTGTGCTCGGGTCCACAACCAGGCACACCTGTCCCATACCCATGTGCCTTATACATTAACAGGATCAAGGCCACAGGTGATAGCCACAGAGGTAAATACATAAAAGCCTGATGAACTTCATCTCCTCTACATCCCTGCAGACCTAAAATCTGACTCTCAGTTTATTAAAGAGAATCCAGCCCTGAGGAAATGAGGTACATTAAGCCTACATGTGTTTTCTCTATGTGAGTGGTTTCTAGAATGTGACCCCTGAGCAATAGCATCACCCAAGAATTTTTAAAATATAAATTCCAATTCTAATTTTGATCTTGGGGAAAAGGCCCAGCCGTCCATGGTTTAACAAGATTTCCAGGTGATTCTTAATGCTTAATTTTGAGAAACACTGCTCTGTGTGAACCAGAAGGCAAGATCTGTTACTTCATTGGCTCACCACCTCACCCTCAAAAGGAAAACTGCATGGGGAACCAGAGTTTGTCAGGGTTACTTGATGAAAAAGCAATAAGTAATTATTAGCTACTCTGTGCCAGGTGCTGGGGGTATAGTGATGAGCAAGACAGAGTCTCTGCCTTTATAGAGCTTGCTTTCATAGAAGTCTGACATTTGAGCAGAGGAAAATTGATGAGCATAGTGGAATGTACCATCAGGGTGTGTGTGTGTGTGTAATGTAGCATACCACCAGTGTGTGTGTATGTGTGTGTAATATACCACCAAGGTGTGTGTGTGTGTGTGTAATGTACCACCAGGGTGTGTGTGTGTTGGCACCCTGTAGAGACAGCAGTCAAGATAACTTGAAGATCTGTGTTGGTCAATCAGTCCACCCTCCTGGAACAGTGCTGGGGTGATGGTGACACCTTTCTTATTAGCTAACCTTTAGACTTCATACAGCACCCCCCAACTGTAATAACAAAATAATCACATTAGAAAGGCTAAATAGGAAGAGGACTCTGACTTCCTTCAGTGTCTTTAAATCAGCTTGTGATGCCTGGCTGCATCACAATAGGGTTGGGGGTCTTGGGGGAAGTGGGAGGCTGAGGAAACCATCAGGCTGGGAGGGAGAGTTTCTTAGTTTCCAACTGGAAAGTTGAAAGTGTGGGTCAAAGGTGGTCAAGCTCCAGCAGGCTCTGGTTTTGGGAATACTAATATTCTGGCTAAGGTTTTAAGAGTTGACCTCTCATCCCTAAAACCATCCCTTGAGGCACAGAATCACATCACTGCTTTAGTATAACCTCTGTTTATAGCTGGATTCACTTTAGTAAGTATCCAAGTAACATGATTGCACAATGTGATACTCAAAAGCAAAAGCTGTATCTCCTATTAGTTGGGTTCAGATTCTCACTGGGAGATATTAAAG